ATAGTAACTTATTTACTGAGTCATGATATTTATCATACGAAGACAAGGTAGCTCACGTGACAGACAGTAAAAGCCAGAAATCACCTTTTACTGAAAAAAAAATTAAAAAAACGCCAAGATTTATTCATCCTATTTCGTTTAAGGTGATGGAGGACTGGTAGTAGAATTTTCCCGCAATGATATGAGTAGAGCTGACTTTTCCATTGAATTTCACAGAGCATTGCTTTACAAAAAGTTGTTCTCATCCAGAGTTGACTGCAGTTTTGACCTTTCCTAGGTCTTATAAACACACTCAGCGGTAGTCGAACCGTGACAGCAGCATGTGAGCTTGACACGTCAGCTCTACTCATATCATTTTGGGAAAATTCTACTACTAGTCCTTCTTCACCTTAGCCTAAATAGGATGAATTTATTTCATATAACTGATTTACTAGTAGTCTCGAAATTCTACTTAGACGAAAAATTGTTTATCTATTTAAGCATATTTGTCCCTAACTTTTGCCAATAGCAGCTCAATTGGAGGATCGCTTAATTTCATTACCAAATTGTTGGTTAGTTATAGCCATGACTACTTGGCTGTTTTGAACACGGCAAATAGTTAATGATTAGAAAAAATGCCAAGATTAACTGTTTCTTGGAATGGAAAAGCTTAGCATCGATTCATTAAGGTCGCAGGACAGCTTGCAGAAGGTTTATTGGTACAAAATTAGGGTCACTAATATGAGAAAATCTTCCTTGGTTTTCCGGTAGGGCTAATTTCCTTTATACTTGTCATCACATTGGATCACACTTTCGGCGTGACCTAATTAGATATTTTTTCTTGCTACTAAGCCATATTCAACTAACATTTGAGGCAAACTCACCTTATTTCATTTAAGACAAGGAAGGATTTGTAATAAAATTTTTCCACACAATAACTCTACGTTTCCAATTGATGTCTCGAAAATTTGCTTATAAAGGAAAAATCTAACCAAATTGAGAACAGGTTTTTTAAGATGTATGGCACATTGATCTTTGATGCAAAAATTAGGCCTTCCTTTCAATTCATTATAACAGACTAATGATGAATTTAAAAATGTTTCGCTTGTAAATTGTCTTATCCATGATAGTTGCAAACAAAACAGAGGTTAATTAATTTCTATTACAGTTATCACTATTACTGCTCTGTATATGTACATTATCTGCATGTGTTTAATGCTTATATTAGCACGCTTAATATGTATATCTTTTTATCCCTAGGATCTTTTTCAACTCCCTCCGGCCGATATTAAAACCAGCTGGACGCACGCTCTGCTCAAATGCACATGCCATCTCATCAAGGACTTTTCTAACAATCCTGATTTATCTTCGCCATCTCTTTCCTCTGCCTCATCTTCTGATGAATCGGCTCTATTAGAATCTGGTAAACGCAGGCGCCTGTTATCTAATTATTCGGCTGGAGTTGAAGCAGCAGAAATATTAGGAACTTTCTCTCTTAAACTGGATCATGTTGATGAAGAAATAAAGCATGAGTCATGTACTCCGGTAATTACGAAGGCTGAGATTGAGAAGGAAGAGAATTTTAGAATAGCTTTCCCCTGTCCATCAAAGTGCACGGGAAGTCCTCCAAACTCTAGATCCATTCATACCACTTCTGGACTATCCGAACTAGCAAGATGGCGGCATTATGTTCATGGATCCGTTTCCATTGATCTTGAAGATGATCTTCTCAAATCGGCCGCTATAAATGGCATTATTACAGCTGTTTTTTCGTTTTCCACAGACAAACATTGATCCCTGTCTATTTACTTACCTGCATGCTCTGATGAGGCACAAATATTTGGCTCTACTTTTTTGAAGGAGATCCTCTATTAAAACAATTTTTTTATCAGCTTCAATTAAACTACATATTTTTACTTAAAGTGTCTACCCTACAGACTATTCTGTACTTCTCAATGAATCATAAGGCCGTTCCTGCTTTCCGTTTGATAGATATTTTATGTTCATTCTTTAAATACTCACCACCCTGCAGACTACTTAAATTTTTGTGTAGCTGATTATTGTTGCAACTCGACTATTTTTACTGATTAAATCTTGCTAATTTATTTATATTATTAATGGGTATCTGAAGTTTTTTGAGATAATAATTATAGTTTTTGGGATAACTTCAGGCATTTCAATCAGAATGCTCCTTAGTATTAAGGGGTAAATGATCCAAAAATGAAGCTTTCTATCAAGTATTTAGGTAATTTGAAGTCGCATGCGAGCGACGAATTATTTTTTCGCGCAATATATAAGAACTACCTATATATAATTTATCATCTTGCGCAAAGCCAAATTGATAGCTATGGCATAGCTTATTCCATCATATACTTAGATAGAAATTGTCACGGCGGCAAATAATTTTTTCGTTTGTAAATGAATAGTTATCTAAATTATCACCTAATCTTCTACTGTGGCTTATATGGTCAAAGGTAAGCAAAGTGATGGAAGGCCAAAATGTAATTGTTGCCACATTAGAAGAGGTTCAAGGTCGGACTGACGGGGTTTCTTATCCTATCGACAATGTAGTAGGATTGAGTATAATTAATCTGTTATCAGTGTATTAATGGTTATAAACCAAGGTTTCACAAAACTCGTAATAGACCCAATTGGCGGGAAATTGTTTTACTCTGGGATGGAAAGCATTAGGTACTCGAATCAAAATTAGAACTATTAGTCAAGGATATTGTTAAATTATAAAAAAGTTCGAGGGAGTTATCTCGACAATTACTTGTGAAATAAAAGCCTGATCGCAGAATGACAATCGTTCAAAGCTAAAATATGTTTGGCTATTAGGTGCTAACGGCCTGGCTTGGTAGTTGCCTAGCTTAATTATTATCACGCCTAGATTTTTGATTACATACAGATATCTCAATTCAAGAATAACTATGATTTATAGCAATAAATAGTGGCCGCTAAGCATAGGGGCTGAGTAAGTGTCTTACTATGCTAAACATAAAATGCCATGTCACCTCGCTGACATGAGTAACAATATCTGCTATATGATACTATGAATGGGTTTTCCGATCAAACAAGAGTCATCCAAAATGAAATCTGAAGTGATTCTTATCTCAGGAGGGTCGTTTCGGCCAGTCATCTTGTAGATGAAACTAACGAAATTAAAGTCTATGAAAGGCAAGTTGAAAATGAAGTTATTTAATTTAACTGTGCGATGAAGTTAATTGAGGGTAATACCAGATGTAATCCCAAAGGATGATAAAATACTTCTTTATAGAAAAGTTAACAATCATAGCCCCTTTGGAAAAATCAACAAATATCGTGGCAGTGTGTAGGAGAAAACCAGGTGACTTCACTGAGGCAACAAGGAACCTCGAAAATCAATGAATATCCCTTGTTTCCATGCCTAACGACATAGTATAGCCATTTTTCCGCGGTTCGACTCCCGCTGAGGGTGTTGATAAGACCGATGCGAGGTCGAAACGGCAGTCCACCCTGGATGAGAAAAACTTTTGGGAAAGCAAGGCTATGCGAAATTCAATGGAAACGTTAGCTCTACTCATATCATTGTGGGAAAATTCTTCTACCAGTCCTTCATCACCTTAAACGAAATTGGGTGAATACATCTCATATTATAGCTAGACAATATATAATCAAAATAGTTCATCTAAATAAATGGATAAAATATTAAATGCGATTAGGCGGTAAGAAATCGGGGACGCAGGGTCATAACTGAGCATCATAGAAAAGGGGTTAGGAATACAATACAAGCGAATTTAAATAAATAAGAGGCTTTTGATAATAGTGGTGATAACAATGTATAAAATGTGCCAAATGAGATAAAACAAATGCTGTAGTTCTAGATGATCTTAAATCCTTCGCGATCTTCACTAAGATCCTTATATAAGCTCGCTAGACTGTATCATGGGAATTAGAAAGGGGTAAAATAATTAAATTTTTGTGACGGGATGCTAGGCGTGCAAATGCATTTTATCTCCTTGAATATCTTTAATAAGAGGTCCAACTTGAATAAGTAAGAAGTGGGTTGACCTCGTCGCAACTTGGTCTTGTTGTCCGGGCGACTTATTAGAACGCACCTAGTCCGAAATCCGAAAGATTAGAAAGTCGATTTCACCAGAAGACGACGGCGGATTCCTATTGACTAGCAGTCGATTGGCTTTACTGGAACATTCATAGGGACGTTGTTTCCGAGGTAGTCTCCTTCGAATCCGGTGAAAAGGTGCTAAGCATTTGTCCACCATATGACAATCATCATCAGAGCAAGGTATCATTGTTATAACCAAATTCAAGCTAACGAGTCAAGAACACTCACCGGCAAATCCCTAAAAAGCCGCATCTGGCCTCTGATAAGGTATAAAGCGATTTGGTTAGTTCCTGTTGTATGTCAACCTCGAAGCATGTGAGTGTCTATATCTGCCTCTGTATGTGCCTGTTTGTGTTCGCTTATGCACGAAAACAGCAGTGATGGCTCAAAGTAATGGGGACAGCTAATAATTAAAGTCTATAGAAGTGGGTCGACCTCGTTGTCGCAGCTTAGTCTTGTTGTCAGGGCGACTTAGTAGAACACACCGAGTCCGAAGTCGTCTGCCATAGTAGTTGTCATGACTCCCAGCATCAGAGGGTGGACTTGGTACATTCTCAAACGTTTCGCCGGCATCGTAGTCAGCATCGTAAGTGAGTTTTGCTATTCTCCGCGCCAAGCTACGAACTCGTCAAAGAGACAAGTTAAGTCAATCCTTCCACCAACGTTCTGCCAAAAAAGGTTACACTATCACTCCTCTTTTTGTCCTGCCCAATCTATCTACTCTTTACCCTCTTATCAAACTCCCGCCCTATCACAACTTCTCACTTGTTTACATTCCACTCGTCAAAATGTGTGCCCTTTTGTGGCAAATCTAGTGTGGCCTAATCACCTGCTATTCACCCCGACCCCCTTTCTTCCGATCGGATAATACGACTCGGGCTTCCAATCCGGATCTCCCTCATTGTCCCGTAGATCCGTTCCTTATCTTTCTGGTTGACCGATTTCACTCGGTTCTAGTCTCAGTGGCAGAGGACTTCGGACCAGGTTCGTTCTACTCAGTCTTCCAGACAACAATACCAAGTTGAGACGAGGTCAACTCACTTCCATAAATCGAAGGGAGACTGCGACCATACAGGAGACCACACCATCTTGGTCTTCATAGCTTCGATTGAATAATTAAGTTTGAATGAAGCACAAAATATCTTGACGCATCTGTAACTAATTAAGGCAATTATCTGAAACATAGGAGTTTTCAAGAAAAAATCATATGGATTCGTTAATTTATGCGAAGAAAAGTTAGGTTTCGAGAAGTCTTTTGTTTTTATAAGTTTTGAGTTTATTCCCATTTCTTTACCAAACACTTTCACTCGAAATATAAGTAGGCTCAACGATTCGTTAATTTAGTCGATGCACAGTGACTAGATAGTGGATATTTGATTATAGTTTTGGCGAAGAGTCTGTGTACACTAATATTCTTGTTGATAGGACTACAGTGGCTATAGAATTAACATCAGATTAACAGCCAAAGATTTTAATTAGTAAAAATTGTTATTTACAGCGATAGCGGTGTGCCGTACAAATTTTACCTTTTCTGGTAAAAGTGTAACAGCAAACAAGAGGTTCAGCTCCGAAATATCTCATTCGCCGTAATAATTGATGCTCGATCGGTGGGGTGCCTAATTCAAAAACCTATTACTTTCTAGTGTTCGTTAAGTGTATGGTTGACTAATTTGCCGTTTTGCAACACGGCAGAGTATAGCTAACTTCTTGAAGTTAATGAGTTAATAATGCTAGATTCATCAGGGGATTAGTGGATATATGATTAGTAAAAAGAGAGGAAAATATGGCAGATAGGTCTACAGGCAACCCACAACTGTAGGTTTATTTTTGAATTATGGAGTATTGGAAGCAATGATAATTCGAAGTCTATTTATCGTGGATGTTGCTCATCGGACCAAGTGTGAATATCAGATAGCTAGAAAGCTCCGCTTAAGTCTTGCTTCTATCATCATGTCATCTGTCAAAAAAGCTAGGTTAATTACCGAGGAAGTGAAGCATTAAAACAATCAATAATAGTGAGGCTATCTTTTCAAGAATTTTCAGATCATGTCTTAAATTGCATGACTTAAAATGTATCTTTTTTATCTGTTAACTTATAATTGGGGAAAATTTGCTCTCTCGTAAAACGTTATAAAAATAAAACATCCCGCCAAGCATTGATTTGTATCGTTAGCTTAAATTGGTTGTAAGAATGATAGCCCTGAGGGTTATGAGAAAGCTTGATTAGCTTCGAATCAGGTTGGGGCTCTAACATTTGACCTTATAAGCATTTCATGCACAAAACATATGCAACTGTAAGCAAAACCAGCGTTAAAACTAAAGTATTAAAGCTTCATGTGATTGAGGCAAGAAAGAAGCTGTCGAGTAAAGGCCACATCCACTTCACACGTCATTCACAGTCATTTCATATCACACCTACGATCACACCACTTATTTTCAGGTATAAGTAGAAATCCACCTTACCGATAAAGTGGAGGCTTGAGACGTACGTTTACCGATGAATCACGATACACAGATTCATTCATAGTAGTTTTTATTGTAGTCATTGTCTAACTCTGGGATTTGCAACCCAGTACCCAGAGAAATAAGAAAAAAGTCGTCGGGATCAAGAGGGAGAATCTGATAAGAGTTGGGTGAAAAAGTTCGACTGACTTGAAAGACTAAGTTGGATCTACAATATCCACACACA